TAGCTCGCTTAATTTTATAGTTTTTTAGGAGAAACTTATTTTCGTGCCTACATTTAGAAATTAATTCCGATTTTTTGTTTAACAAACATTCTTGGTTTGCGTGTGTAATTATTTAAAATATTTTTATGTAGACATGGTATGCATTTTTTGGAAATATTGTTGTATACAGGCGCTGTTTTATCGATGGACCAATTCAGTATAAAATCATTAATATTTTTATTTTTTAGCTCCCATATTTATTTTGCCAGCATGGTGTCTTTTGAATACTTTTTATTTTTAAAAGATTGCTTATGATTGGCAAAACGACTTTTCCATTCACCCTCTGTTATGCCGATATATATTGTTTATCAGGTACATTCTTACAGGAGACAACACATTTATATACCACATTTTTTGATAAGCGACTTCCACTCATTGGACAATATATATAATTGTTTTTTTGTTTACAATTACAATTTTCTGTAGTTTTTTCATTTAGGATTTCTTTTTTATTTAACAAAGCATTATTGTGACTTTTTATAACTCTTTCTATATTTTTTGTGCAACTGTAGCTAACTTTAATAGTATTTCGATTAAAAAATTTATGTAATTTATTAGAGGGAGGGAAATGCATATCGACCAATTTTAAAAATACTTTTTCTATGTTAATGGAAACATTTTTGCCACATGGGGGGTTAAACCAAATTACATTTCTAGTTCTGTTCCGTTTTTTTTGTATTATTTTTATCAGGATCAAATTTTAGTTCAAAATTTTCAAAACCGCTTTTTTTAAGGGCATCTTCAAATTTTCTTTTGGAGGAATTAAATACATTTTCATCAGAGGAGTTTTGGTTTAATCTGTTATTAATTGAAATCGGGATTTGTTTTAGAATTTGTGGTGGATGATCTGAGTTAATATTAATATACAATAATTCATCGTTTTGTTTTTTAAAAAGGCTTATATGAATTTTCCGAAAGGTTAAATGTAACATCAAGAAAGTTCACAATTTTTAAATTTATGTTTTGTTTCAATTTGAAAGCCAATATTTTTAAAAATTTTTATAATATCTTTTCGAATCTTATCGAGCTGTGGACCAGATTTTTTAAGGCATTACTATTAAACCATTGTCGCGATAAAGGCCTAAACCATTTATATTGATTATTTTACTTAATAAATCTAAAATGTATAGTCCAACAAACTTACAAATTTCTGCTCCGTCATAACTGCCCATTGTCACAAATCAGTCATGTATTTTTTTCTTTTTCTAAGTATCCTTATTAAAGTATAGTAAGGTTTTTCTACAAGGTTTTATTATGCGGATTGTTTCTTCAGGATTAACTGTGTGGCTTTTTGCATATTCGATTGTTTTATTTAAAATATCTGCAGTTATTGAAGGTTAAAAATCATTAATATCAAATTGAATAAATGTACAGTCATCTTTATTTTCGATTATGGAGAACCAATTTATAACATTAGTGGTATTTTTCCACTGTTTCAAATTTAATTTATTTCTAAGAAGTTTACTAATTTTGTCCAATTTAATTTTGCTTACATGTCCAATCTCACTTTTTGAGGGAACCAATAACCTACAAAGAAGTTTTGTTTTGAAAGTTTGGTTCATGGTCTTTTATATATATATATATATATATATATTATATATATATATATATTATATATATATATATAATATATATATATATATATATATATATGTATAGATACATAGATAGATACATAGATATAGAAAAATATAGATATATAAGTATAGATATATGATAAATAGATAAATAGATAAATAGATATATAATATAGAAATGACTTTTTAAACATAATAAATATTTATTGGTTTAAGAAGTCTTGGTCTGGGTCTTGGATTGAAGTCTTGGTCTTATGTTGATTTTTTGATGACTTGGTCTCGGCCTTTGTCATGAAGCATTTAGTCTTGGTCTTAATCTTGGTCTTTGTCTTGACTACATCTCTTAGTATATATATATTATATATATATATATATATAATATATATATATATATATATATATATATATATATATATATATTATATATATATATATATATATATATATATATATATATATATATATATATATATATGTATATATATATATATATATATATATATATATATATATATATATATATATATATATATATATATATATATATATATATATATATATATATATAGTATATATATATATATATATATTTATATATATAATATATATATATATATATATATATATATATATATATATATATATATATATATATATATATATATATATATATATATATATATATATATGTGTGTGTGTGTGTGTGTGTGTGTGTGTGTGTGTGTGTGTGTGTGTGTGTGTGTGTGTGTGTGTGTGTGTGTAAATGTGTGTGTGTGTTTTTGTTTATAATTATTTTTTTATGTATGTAAAGTTAGTTTTTATATATACTGAAAAAAGTTAAACTACCATTCTCAATTATGAGTAACAAAGATGTAAGCATAGTTACAATTAATTTTTTTTTTTTTTTGCTAACATAACATAAGAATTTTACAAATTCCACTACATAATATAAAATTTAACAAAATAAGTAAAACAGATAGGGGCTCAAAGAAGATGAGGATTACAGAACGTCATCGCAATCTTTTCATAGAATTCCTTTGACAAGATTTAATTAAAATATCATAATACGACATACAAAATAAAAAGTTTCAATAAAATATCATAACAAAATGCGTAAGCCGCCTATAAAATTTGTCAAGCAACAAACCAAAGTAGAAACAAAACAAAAACGTATTTAAGAGAATTTATCCAAAGCATTATTAACAAAAAATGTTTCACAGGTTTAAAAAATTTTTTTTTTTTGTTAAAAACTTAAATGAACTTAAAGAACTCACCGTACCTTCGAACCCTTTTTGAAAAATATTCTATACTTTTGGACCACGATATAAAATGCTGTATTCTGATTATTTATTTAATATCCTAGGCAGTTTATATGTGTTCAACATATTCGCTCTAAGATTATAATTATCATTTTTATTTAACTCAAACTTATTATTAAAGCTTATAGGCGAGATATTGTGATTGTAACGATACATGAACATTAAATGCTGGTAGATATTTATTTCAAATACATTCATCATTTTCATATCTTTCAAGGGATTAGCGTGTTCCCGCCTATTTTTAAAGTAAATGATTCTACACGCATGTTTCTGGAAACTCTAAAGTTTCTTAAGCTTTGCTGTTTGAGTTCTTGCCCATGAAATGTTTGCATACCTGATGAGGCTGTGAATGAGCCCAAAGCAGATTAATTTAAGACTATTTGTATTGATGTACAAGCGAACTCGATACATTAAACCTACGATTTTGGTAATTTTTGAATGGATATATATTATATGAGGAAGCCAGGATAATTTTTCATCAACAATAATTCCCAAGAATCTTATATTGCTTTTTAATTAATTTGTAATTTATAAATAGGTTCGGTAACTTGAGAGGATAATTTTCTTCTTGTGTTTTTTTATGAAAAAGTATATAGTTTGTTTTTTCGGCATTAAGTGAGAGTTTGTTAGCCGTAAACCAGTTATTTACTTTAGTTAGTTCAATATTCATGTTCGCATATAATGAAATGATCACAACATGAGACAAAGTAAGTTTATGTTACAATCATTTCATCTTTTAATAAAGGTACAAAGCTATTTCTATCTAGATTATTTCTACTCCAGTTAGCAATATCTCTAAATTATTTATACAGATAGAACTTTTAGTAGAAATAACTTTGCATATATAATATTGAGCCATAATTTTATTTTAGCTTAACCAGAAAACTTTACTCAGTAGTAACAATCATCTAATAGAAAAAAATTAAGAAAGTGACTGTATGTTAAGATAAAAAATTTTTTTTTTTTTTTTTTAAATACAAAAAAAATTTTTTGACCTTATAATTAAAGGCAATTATAAATATTGACAAACCTAAATCTTGACTAAAGAACTAAAGAGATGTAAGATGAACACGTAAAGTAATTCAGTGTCTTCATGTTCTAAACTTCTATAATCAAGTTAATTTTTTAAGTTTAGCTATATATGCAAGTTTTTTTATATTTTTTTAAAATTAGTGTTATATTTAATATTCTTAACTAAATTCTTCATTGTAAGTTTGTATATAAAAATGAAGTGTGCAATTTTTGTATTTTTTTTTTTTTTATATCAATTTTAAAACGATAATTGAAACATATCTCATTTGTTTGCACAGTAAAGAAGCAAGTCCTGATATTAAGCTGTAAAAATTTGCCAAATGTAAGCTCATCTGTTTTTATTTAACATTTTATGCTAAATAAAACCAGATAAATGTTTTTCCAAACATTTAAAAATGTGTCTGTATTTTTAACAAGTAGCTAAATAATACATTATACATAATAATCTGATAATATTAATATGCTAATTTATTATTAGTAGAATTACGTCATTTTCTAGGCTTTTCTAGTGCCTAAAGTCTTAAAAAGTCTTTATTTGCAGTGGATATCCTGGGGGAAAAAGACTTAGCTTGAAGATTCATAATTTTATTATGATAAAATAAATGATATAACAAGGTTTGATGAAAGTAAAATATTTTTAAATAATAAAGCAAAGTTTTATTTGTTATTATATTCTTGTTTACATTTATGTATAAAGTTTTCCTAAATAAAGTAAAATGTAATCAAACTAAATATATTCTATGATATATCAAGGTCTTTGTTAGCTCTGCTAATAATGTTTTGAATGAAATAATGTCTAAATGTGTTCTACCATTGTTTAAGAAAACTGGAATTTATGGAAATAGATCTTTTAAAAAAAACTTAATTGAGTAGAGTAATTGTAGTTATGTTTTAAATTTTTATATTGTTCCTTTCATATACTGAGTGATATTTTGTATTATTTATTTCTTATTATTATAATTTATATTTTGATGCATTTTTTTACGTGCTAGTGAAATGCATGAAAGATTTTTACAGTATTTATTTTTTTTAGGAACATTAGTGTCACATAGAGCAAATTCGATTTGGTCGATAAGTTGAAAAGCGATTGCTTGAAGAGGATAATAAAATAAATAGTTTAATAGTATAGCAAAAAAAACTACTATTATTATGTTTTTGTATGCTTAAATTGTAAATAAACAGAAAATGTTAAAACTTTTAGTTATTTATTCGGATCTAGACTGTTAGACGTAAGATTCCATTTGTGAAAAGGTTTTTTTTCTGTACAACATAAGTTATTACTTAAATAACTGACACTTAAAAATAAGGTTGTAAAAAATGTTAAAAACAACCAAACGTTTTATATAGACGTAACAAAAACCAATAAATAACGTTTTGAGAAAAAAAGTCCGTTTACCTCTTCATATGGACGTTTAAAAAACTAATAAAAAACTTTCTTATAGATCCATTAAAAAAGGTTCACAAAACGATTTAAAAAAACGTCCGGTCACCGTTTCATATGGACGTTTAAAAACCAATTAAAAAACGTTTTTACGGGACCATTAGAAAACGTTCGCAAAACGTTCTTGTGCCCACTGGGTTCTAAGTAAAATAATTAACCGTCCAATTTTTCGGTTACAACTGAATTTATTTAATTTAAACAGTGAGGATACTTACCTGAAAGAATTAACCTGTTTAAAAACTCACAAATAAATTTATTCATTTTATTATGATAAATTAAAAAAACTAAAATATGTTAAATAAAGCAGTTGAAATTAAAAGAAAGTTCGGATTCATTGTAAAGAATACAATTTTTTAATACAATAAATAACTATGAAACTGTATTTGCACAACACTAACAAAACCAATGTGATCTACAATTCTTTTAAAAAAGGACAAAATCATGAATTCTTTTACACATTCAGAACACCAGTTTTTACACCAATTATATTTTACCATTTGTTTATTTTTGTTTCAATTATATAAGGGACCTTCTGTTCAACTACTTATTTCTATACATAATGCATATCTTTATAAGCTATTTATTTATTGTTTCCGATTTCTTAAGTATGACATGATAAACTTTTTAATTGTTTTAACGTTTTTTGTGAATATATTATTATTATTGTTATTATTATTATTATTATTATTATTATTATTATTAATAATAATATTATTGTTATTATTAATTTGTACAAAAAAAACTATATTTTGTATTTTGTTTTTTTAAACACCTTCATAGGTACTTTAAAAAAAAAGACTTTTATGGTAAAATAAAACGACATTTGAGCGACTTAAACTAAAAAGCTACACTTTAATATATATATATATATATATATATATATATATATATATATATATATATATATATATATATATATATATATATATATATATATATATATATATTTAGCTATATATATATATATATATATATATATATATATATATATATATATATATATATATATATATATATATATATATATATATATATATATATATATATATATATATATATATATATATATATATATGTATATATATATATATATATATATATATACATATATATATATATATATATATATATATATATATATATATATATATATATATATATATATATATATATATATATATATATATATATATATATATATATATATATATATATATATATATATATATAACTTTTTATATTTATATTCAATTTTTGAATACAAATATTTTATTTTTGTATACAAGATTTGATATTTATAATATATACAAATGTTTAATGAAAAATATGGATAGATGAATTAAATTACGAAAATATAAAACACTTGTCAACTAATTTACACTTGTGTATAGTGGTAACTATAGTTACCACTATACACAAGTGTAAATTAGTTGACAAGTGTTTTATATTTGCCTAATTTAATTCATCTATCCATATTTTTCATTAAACATTTGTATATATTATATATATTAAATTCTTCTTATATATTATATTTTTTTGTAAATATTAAATTCTTTTGTATATATTATATATATTAAATTCAGATATTAAATTCTTTTTGTAAATATTATATAAAATTTTAATATAAAAATATACTGTAGGCTTTTTATATGTATACGTATAAAAAGAATAGGGTAATATATTACCCTATTCTTTTTATACGTATACATATAAAAAGCCTACAGTATATTTTTATATTAAAATTTTATATAACATTTATAAAAAGAAATTAATATCACAGTTAAAAGATATAGTTTATAAAACTATCATGTCTTTATGGTCTGTTGTGTTTTTTTCCTAAGACAGCCGAAGTTAAGTGGTGCCTACAAATTGGATTAACTCAGAAAAAAGCATTGTTTATTGTAAATTGCCATCTACATTAACATGTCGTAATCCAAGGGATGCTGTAAAGAAAAGGATAAATCC